GTGCATCGGATCTGTTTGGATAACAATTGCTGGCTAATTTTTTATGCTTTTTGCTTCTGGATTCAGGACAAGGCCACAGGGAGGATCATTTACAAAGGAGTATGCAGTAATGGTCTATACCCGATTCCCTGTCTTTCAACCAATTCTCATGGATCCAATTCAGTCCCGTTCCAAGCTAAAGCTCTTCTCGGTTAGCACATTCACTCTACTACTTGGCACCATAGACTAGGTCATCCATCCAATTCTATTGCTTCTTTGATGTTAAAACAAACTCATATTCCATGTCCCAAACTATCCTTACCTGTCCTGTGCTCTAGTTGTTTGGAGGGGAAGTTTTGTAAACTTCCTTTTTCTCTCAGTCCACATAAGTCTGTAAAACCCTTTGCTATAGTTCACAGTGACCTTTGGGGTCCAGCTCCTTCTGTTTCTATTGATGGTTACAAGTATTATGTGACCTTTATTGATGAGTGTACACGATACTGCTGGATTTTCCCATTAATAAATAAATCTGATGTTTTTGCCAAATTTGTTGCATTCTATTCCTTTGTTAATACTCAGTTTGCAACTTCTATTCAAACTCTTCAAAGTGATGGAGGGGGAGAGTATGTTAGTAAAGCATTTCAGTCCTTTCTTCTTGAAAAAGGCATTACACATCATAAATCATGTCCATATACCCCAGAGCAAAATGACCTCGCTGAGCGAAAGCATCGGCATATCATTGAAACAACTGTGACCCTTTTGCAAACTGCTAGATTACCTGCCATGTTTTGGTCCTATGCTTGTCAAACAGCCATCTACCTCATAAATAGAATGCCCACTCCTGTTCTAGGCAATCATTCTCCATTTGAACTATTGTTTGGTCTTCTCCCTGTCATTTCCCATCTAAGATCATTTGGTTGTGCTTGTTATCCGCTATTAAGGCCTTATAATGACTCTAAGCTACAACCAAAGACCACCAAGTGTATTTTCCTGGGGTATGCTACAAATTATAAAGGATATATATGTTATGAGGTTTCTAAACAAAGACTATACATATCCCGGCATGTAGTATTTGATGAGTCTCAATTCCTATACAAAGACTTGTTGGTCCATCATACCTCATCACACCTTAGTTCTACCACCCACAGTCCAATATCTGTTTCCACTGATAATGTTGTGATCCCTATGCCTACTGTCCCCATAACATCACAATCCCATTCTGTCTCTTCAGACTTGCCTGGTTCTCCTCCTATGTCACTCTCTTCGATTACATCATCACCACTATCCTCTCAGTCCATTACTGCCTCTAATACTTCCCAACCTCCTGTGGCCCTTGTCAATGGTTCTCCTCCGTCTCAAGGTTCAGAGGTCCACTTTCACCCTGATACTTTGTCAGTGGTACTGGAGGTTCCACCCATCAATTTACATCCTATGCAAACTCGGAGCAAGAGTGGAATTATCAAGAAGAGGGTTTTATTAGCTACTGTTCAGGAGGCTGAGGGTACTGATTTGTCTCTTATTGAACCTTCTTCCTACAAATCTGCCCTTAAGGATCCAATTTGGTTTAAGGCTATGAAAGAGGAAATCAGTGTTTTACATACACAAGGTACCTGGAATCTGGTGGTCCTTCCTTCTTCGAAGAATTTGGTGGAGTGCAAGTGGATCTTCAAGATCAAGAGACATTCTGATGGTACTATTGCCCGTCATAAAGCTCGGTTAGTGGCTAAAGGGTTCAGTCAAGAACCTGGTATTGACTATGGGGAAACATTCAGTCCGGTGGTTAAACCTACCATTGTTCGATTAGTATTGGCTCTTGCAGCTCAGTTTGGTTGGTCCCTTCGCCAACTCGATGTCAAAAATGCTTTTTTACATGGCATTTTAGAAGACGAAGTGTACATGGCTCAGCCTCCTGGGTTTGAAGATGTGCATCATCCTCACCTCGTTTGCAAACTGCAGAAATCTCTATATGGCCTTAAGCAAGCTCCCCGAGCTTGGAATGATAGATTCACCAAGTTCCTGCCTCAGTTGGGGTTTAAAACTACTTATGCCGATTCCTCTTTGTTTGTCAAAACGGTGGATTCTGGTATAGTCATTCTTCTCCTCTATGTGGATGATATTATCATCACAGGGAGTGCATCTGCATCCATACAACAGGTTATTACTGCTTTACACACTGAGTTTGACATCAAGGATTTAGGGGATTTGCATTATTTTCTTGGCATTCAAATTTCCCGGACTGCCACTGGTTTATTCTTGTCCCAATCGAAATATGTGTTGGATCTTCTCACCAAAACAGAGATGATCGATGCCAAACCTTGTGACACTCCTTGTTTGCCGTATACCAGGCTTCTCAAGGATGATGGTGATCCATATACCAATCCCACTTTGTACAGAAGTGTGGTAGGTGCCTTGCAGTACCTTACGTTTACAAGGCCGGATATAGCTTTCTCTGTTCATCAAGTGGCTCAGTTCATGCAATCTCCTATGGTTGCTCACTTCACAGCAGTCAAACGCATCTTGCGGTACTTAAAAGGCACCATTAGTCATGGCATTGGTTATTCTCGTGGCTCCCTTCAATTAAAGGCCTTCTGTGATGCTGACTGGGCAGGGGATCCTAATGACCGCCGGTCGACTACTGGCTTGGTTGTGTTTTTAGGGAATAGTCCTATTTCCTGGTCATCCAAGAAGCAACTGACAGTATCCCGGTCGTCTACAGAGGCCGAATATCGTGCCCTGTCATCCACATCAGCAGAATTGGACTGGATCCAGCAACTCTTAGTATTCTTGCAGGTTCCTTTATCCTCCCCACCTGTGTTGTTTTGTGATAATCTGTCTGCCATTGCGTTGTCCTTTAATCCCGTTCAACATCAACGCACTAAACACATTGAGATTGATGTTCATTTTGTGCGGGAACGGGTGGCAAAGGAGCAACTCTCTGTGCAGTTTGTGTCGTCCAAAGAGCAGTTTGCTGACATTTTGACTAAAGGATTGAGTTCTCCTTTGTTTCATATTCACTGTTCCAATCTCATGCTTCGTGCCTCCCAGCATGAGTTTGCGGGGGATGATAGAGTATAGCTTGATGTGTAGGATGATGACATGTGTAATTAGATTAGAAGAGGAGTTAGTTAAGGCAGTTAGTCTTGTTGTTAGAAGTGTATAAATATCTCAACCTCTTGTATTACTTAGTGGTTAAGAAATATATCAAGAACATTCATTCTCTCTCTTCTCTCTGAATTGTTATCTCTCTCTCTAGAATATCTGTATACAATTTCATAGATTTAGTTACATTTACACTAAACACATTTATTCCTTTCCTTTCTTTTCACAAAAAGAAATTTAAGAAGAATTTTTCTGTTCTATTCTTGTAACTTGAATAAGACCTTTCAAACTTCAACCTAGAATTAAATATTCATTTCAACGACATGAATTCATAACTAAAAGCCTTTGCCTTCTGCTCGAATTAGAAAGTGGGTGGAGTGAGTTAGAAGGTTGCTGAGCTATCCTTCTTGTAGCACAACACGAACTAATGAATGAGTGAGCGGATATGCGATCGTTTCGGGTAACTTTACGGATTAAATTCGAAGATTTCTCAAACCAACAAGAATCCAAATCATAAAATAATGTATAATCTCTATGAAACAAAATTGAGAAGTAGGAGTCAACACTATATATAGCTTGATCATTTTGAAATTACTAAATTGCATTACTTACTCGAAATACTACTTGAGATTCCTAAATTTTCTAGAGCTAAACAGCAGAGTTTTTCGGTGTATGATAATTTTGAGTATGTTTATTATACGATTTAAAGTCGCATTGATAAAAGTCAAGTCTCTGTCACTCAAATCAAATTAAAAATCAAGACCCGAGAATGAAATATGATAACATATTATTGATTGGTTATTCCGTAAACTAAGAGATTTTCAATTTTAAAAATAAGATGAAAATAATCAATCTCGACAGTTGAATATTTGCAACACCCTTCTGCGAAATTCATCAGAAATAAATTAGAATTGAACTCTTGTAGTAGATGTGAGAAGAGGTGCTTCACTAAAAACTAAGGTCCCATCCCCCACATTAAAACCAATGTCTTTTGTATTCATACATAAGACAATACAAAGAAAACAAATATACAAGTCAAAACTAGTGTAAGGTTACAACCTCCTCACTCATAGTCTCATACAACCAACCACATATATGACAGTTAAAAGTTTCTTATTGGATCAACCGGTCAAGGAGCTTTCATTTGGACCACCCAATTTTGATAAATCCACAATAAAAAAAAATAAAAAAAAACCATAACTCTCAATAATTTAGCACAAAAGATCCAATCCCAGATGGTCCACAATCATTTGGATAGTTTCCTGTGAATAGGGTGGGGAAGATTTAAGTTTTGCACATAAAAGGATAGGAAGAAGCAAAACCAACCCAAAAAGGTTTCAAAACACTCATTGCCTATCCTTAGAATCCATGGAAATTGGACCCAAAATCTCTTTTGGCCTAGCTATTTGGTTTCACAAATTTCTTGTCAATTCATTTGTTTCTTCTTTTTCGGGTGACAAATGTGAAGCAAGTACAAAGCAAGAATTCTAAAACAAGTAAGAAACAAATGCTAAGTTTCTTTTGCTGTTTTGGTTTGCCCTTTTTTGCTTTTGTACATTCAATCCCAATAAAGTATAAACAAACAATTGGCGAAGAGGAACAAAGTCAAAATGTTAAACAAGAAGAAGAGTGAAGAGCAATGCAAGAATAATCACACAAATATCAACTCATAATTTCCGACTCAGGTTAGATCAGTGTGTCTATCCCGTTGCATTTGAATTTAAATCACCATCGTTCTTAATCATAACAATTAAAATATGCATGATATTGTCGTAACAAAAAAACATTAACTCATAATCATACTTGCATCCGAGTTCGAACCATACTTTGTTGCTCAATACTATAATCACAGGTAGAATGTGTGAAATGACATAACTCACGAGTGTTGGGTTCTTTTCATTAAAAGATGCATGACAGTATGATTTAACTCTGAAGTGCACCATTTATTACCAAGAACAGTAAAAAAAAATATTACTCCACTGCAAAAATTTGTGTAAAACTCTACTCCACCATATGCTTCTAGCTTATATACACATACGAATTTACCAATTCATACCCCTGCAAGCCACCGGAACATCTCCGATATCTCTTCTCCGACGCGCTCTGTTTCCAAGCTCCAATCGCCGGCCACGGACACCTCGCTCCGACGGCTGCTTCCGGTGAAGAATCGTCCAGAGCTCCGAAATGAGATATCTCGGGACGAGAGGGTGCTGGACAGCCGATCAATGTAGTCCTTGAGCCAGCTCGACCTCCCTGAGCCCACCTCCGCGGCGAGGAACGGAGCCGGAATCGGCGGCTCCGGCTCTGTCACCGGCAAGATGACTTCGTCTTTCTCTCGCTCAGCATTGCTCAGCCTCACTTCCGACGCCTCCTCGTCCACGATGTAATCGAAGGAGCCGACGGAGTAGGAGTGCCGATTGGACGAAGCCGCAGTCGTCGTCGTCGTCGTCTGGTTGTTGTTGCGGCGGCTGACGTTTCCGATTTCGAGGCGGAAGCTGCCACCGTTTGTGGTGGCTGCGCCTTCATTGGAGGAGGCGAGCGTCATGAGCTCGGCGTCGGAAGCGGCGATCGAGGAGCGACAGAGTGGGCAAGTCTGCTGCGACTGGAGCCACGTGTCGATGCAGACGGCGTGGAAGGCGTGGCAGCAGAGCGGGAGGAGACGGAGCTCGTCGCTGGGCTCGAATTTCGACAGGCAGACGGCGCAGTCGGCGGATATGGTGGTGGAGGATCGGCGAGTGATGGAGGAGAAGGTGAAGAGAGGGAGGGTAGGCAAGGTCACCGGATTGACTCGGCGAGTGGATATGCGGCGAGAATCGGAGGATGAGATGGCGGGGGAAGGCGCTAGGCGACGGATGCATCGGCGGTTGAGGTGGCGGAGGATGAGACAGAGGCAGATTGAGGCCACGAGTGTGGCTGTGAGGATGACAATGATGATGAAGAGGCTCGGGGTTAGGGTTTTGAAGGAGGAGGAGGATTGGCGGTGAGGTAGTATTGGCAGAGGCGGCGGCGGTGCTGCTGCTGTTTCCGACATTTTAGAGAGAGAGAGAGAGAGAGAGAGAGAGTGAGAGAGAGAGAGAGAGGGTGAATAAATCCCTTGTTTGTTTTCGGTTTTTATTTCGGAAAGAGGGAAAATAGCGGGGATTGGGAGGGAGATGGCACGTGCCTAACACGTGATGTGGAGGGAATTTGATTATGGTGAAGGTGGAGGTGGAGGTGGAGGTGGAGGTGCTGGCTGGTGTGGAATTGAATTCTGGCACTCGAGAGTAAATGCGCGCAGGTTTTTGAAGAGAAAGATTAGACGTAGGATGAAGGTTCTGAAATTACATAATCCCCCTCTTGTTGTCCAGGAAGTTACGATTGTGCCCCCTCTGTTTAGATGAGATGAGAATGTGGGAAATTTGACTTGACAATTTGGCTTTTTATTTTGGACAAACTTGGTGATTTAATTTGGCTTTTGTATGGGCGTTCATACTACGATCTGGTAATATTTCTCTTCATTTGTAAATGAAATATCATAGATTTAAATATCATGAATGACAAATTCGATACTAAATTAGGTTACTCAAATGTGTGAGTTAGCCGAACTCGAAAAAAATATTAAAAAAAAGGCTTTGTGTGCGTGTTTACTTGTTGGTTTTTTCATTGGATTATTTTAACTGGGATGGTTACCCAGAATTTTGCTCAGCCATTTTTCTCAATTCATTTCTTTCTATTTTTCTAATTAAATTTGACTTGTACTAGTGATTATTATAAATTTATAATCATTAATTAATTACCATGAAGGGTTTTAGTCAAACCCATATGGAAGTTTCACTCAAGATTAAATTTTCCACATTTAAAAGGTTTTATTACACAGCATTACATTAGATTTGGAGAGGTACACCCCCTATTATGTTTAATTATCTTCAATTTTTTTTTTTTTTTTTTTTTTTTTACGAACAATAGTGTTAGTGAGAAACTGTTAGTTGTTAGAAGGAGGGAGATTAGTGAGGATCGAATCAGCCTTATGGTGCATAGTCATAGTAACTTATCACGACTGCGATAAAGTGCCAGCTGCAATTAATTATCTTCAATAAATGACCCTCCTTTTGGTTTGATACACACGATTAATGAGGAGAGATTAGAACGCTAGAACTCAAATACAAGATAAGAATTGTAAGCCAAGTATTATTCTTTTTAATTTTAGAAATGAAAAAAATTCTAGCTATGAGAAAAATTAGGTGAGAGCGTGAGACCCACATCCATTTGCAAAACACCTCACGCAAAAGTCAAAAACTCCGTATTTTAGCTTATTAGATCTCAATTTGATTTTGTCTAGTGTAAGAGCTGCACTGATCAAGCTAACTCGGTTGGAAATCACTCTATTGAGTAACCGGTACTCTTCGTGTGCTCATGCGCCACGTGTCTTTTTTTCTTCGTGAATTTCAACAATTGCATATTTCTTTTGTTTTCCAAATAAAGTTCACCCAAAAAGAAAAAAACCGACTAAAGCCAATTACTTCCATGTACGGAACACTGTTACATGGTACTTGGAATCTCAACCATTCGATCTGAGAGGAGCTCCTATGCAAAAAGTTGGACGAGGTAGCAACAAAACGACGCCGGATACTTTTCCAACCACTGGACACGTGTACTTGTTTAGATCAGTTTTTCTGGTACTAGTTAATCATTGATAGATCTGATGGAGCATGTTCGTATTAGTACTTTAATCACGGCGCTAATGGACTAATTAAATTAGTATTTGACATTCTTTTTGGTACTTTGTTTGTTATTATTTCCAGAAATTCTTTTGGGTACTTGAAAATTAATAAGAAGATGGAAAATGGAAAACATATCATATTAATTTATTAAATACTGAGATTTGCAGAGACATGAAGTGCTGTGCTTTCTGATATAGAATGATGCAAATACCGTTCATAAAACTATGCTACTATATTGTATTAAATGTAACAGCATAACGATAGCATTACTCATTTTAATAAAAGACTTCAGGTGAGAGATTTTTCAGATGCAAAGGGAAGATCGAACAAAAGACTTTGGGTGCGAGAGATTTTTCAGAAGTAAAGGTAAATTTTCTTAATTAATTAAGCTATAAACACTTGTATTTGGACACTTGGTCTATCAGACCGTGTACACTAAAAAGTTTTTCTCATATACCATGGTAAATATTTTTTAACCAACTATGCTACAAGAGACCTGTATTATTCTTTTTAATAATAATAGTATACATTATACATAATTGTCCTACACCTAATTAACTATAGCACTATCCATTAACCCATTGCATATTATGGAACACCTCGAATCCATCTCTCTCTCTCTCTCTGGTATGGAATTACTTGTTTCACACTCTTGGCATGCATGTTTCTGAAATATAAAATATACAATTGTTTTTGATAAAAAAAAAAGGGTATATAATTGTCTTCCCGATGAAAAAGCATTATTCTTTGGAAAAGGAGGTGTTGGTAAACGGGGCGGGTCGGGCCCATACACTTAGAAAAAGGGGGTCTTAGACCGATCCGTTTCTAATTATAATGAACGGTCGAGATTGAATGATAACCTATCATCCAATCTTAACTTTTAATTAGTACCCTAGTCACAGGTTCCAGAATCAGTCTCACACTCACTCTGCCTCTCCACCATCCGTCGACTCCCTCGACTCCAACTTCTCCTCCTCAACGACAGTGCTCTCCAAACCAACCAACCTATCATCCAATACAGCCGTCGCAACCAACACAACGGCACCACTCATCAGCCATCCTCCTCGACGACATCCCAAAGAACCCAGGTTCCAGAACCACGAGTCCACGACAGCTCGATTGTCTCCTCTTCGACATAAATAAACAAAATTATGTTTTTATTTAAATTTTTTAGATTAACGAGGGCACATTGATTGATAAAAGATGGTTCTAGTAAAATTTCGAAATTTCGGGTCGCATGAAATGAGCAACGGATGATGCAATGAATTAAAGCTATACACCATCTATCACTCGTCACACGGAGAAAATAAAACCAAGATAAGAACAGCATGGGGGATTAATATATCATTTTCTTTAATTAATCAGTCAATGATAAGAATATTAATTAAATAAAGTGGTAAATTAATCATGAAATTGCATAGAAATTTACACTAAAATTCCATGTAATGTAATGGCTGATATAGCATGGATAGATTAGGTGTTTGATTATTTGGTTACGTGGAGTGCACATCCAAATCTTTGGTTACTTGTAAGTTAAAGTAATAATATATAAGAATTGACGACCGTAATTAACCAAAGTCAAGCTCTGATTTGTTGTCGTTTTTGGCCTCCAGGCTGATGCGTCTGCGTGCGACAGCAAATATGGCTCGACTGACCTTGACTAAAACAACCAACGGCACTACAAATCCCCAGAGTGACGACAAAACAAAACTGGATAATGTTTTTACCAAAGGTTCGGAACCACGTCCCGAGTGTGGACACTTGTACCTTTCATTCCTGTTCTTTTCGCATCCCGTCACTGGGACTCAAATTCCTACCAAATATGTGTATTTTCCAAGGTGGGAAGTTACTCGGCTTGTTTTAGCTTTTTTTTGTTTTCTGAATTGTTAAATACATTCCAAAAAGTTTAATTCGCATTTTAAATTTTTATACGCAATATATTAAAAGATTTATTTTTAGCTACGCGTCTTGCAATTCAGTTTTAATTTCATTTTATTCTCTATAACTTTAAAATCGTTATTTTACTTTTTGAAACTCAACATTTGCTCCACTTTACCTCTTAGAACTCGATTTTAGTTTCATTTTGCCATCTGAAACTTGAAAGGCATCTCTTTAAAACTTAAAATTTGCTCAACATTGCCTTAAATTTGTTAATTTCTTATGTAGATTTGATTTGAGTGCGCCAAGCTAATCAATTTATTTTTTATTTTTTCATCTCTTCAATTTCTTTTAACGTAATATTATCTGATTGTTGATTGTGAATGCATAATGGAGATTCGTAATCAAATTTATTCCACATGTGGCATAGTCTTATTGAGTGTTGGTCCCACGTATGTTTCAGGAGGCGACATATAAGTTTTAGAGAGAAGAGAGAGTCCATAAGTCAAAGTGGAATGAATTTTGAGTTTTAGGGAGTTAAGTGATGGTTTTTTACAGGGGATAAAGTAAGTCAACATAGAATTCATGAGGCGTAGCTAAAAATAATCCTACTTAGAAATAAAAATACACTAAAGAGGAGGGCAAATTGACCTTTTTGAAGTGCCAATGACATTTTTTTTTTGTTTAAATAAAGAGGTAGCGATTTTAATATAATATTAACAATTGTTACATATATAAAAGAGCACATTCGAGATAACAACATGTTGGGAGAATTTTAGGTCGAAGTGGACTTGCGCTTTGTGAATGTCCTCTGGCCTTCCTTGGTTTGCTTTCCTACCAAATCCCGGAAAGAAGTAGCACGTCTTAGGAAATACCCCGGTTGAATAAATGACTCAAAGACAACATGATTAAGCAAATAATGGCTTGCTCAAGTGAGGCATGGTGTGGAAGCTAGAAGTTTGTTAGTTTACCATGAGAAAAAGAGTTTGCATGGTTGTGTGATATTCTAGGTTGGGTAATCTGGGCTTCGTAGGATGACAACAGGGCTTCTAAAAGTTGGGATGCTCAGAAGAAGGTTCTAAAAAACACGAGGGTTGCAGGGGTGAATCCTCCAGAGGTTTAAGGCTGTTTGCAGTTAGGGAGTCATCTTCCTAGCTTGGTGCAGCACAATCCTTCAGCCTTTCCTAATATTGTATCTCATCTCCTTCTGGGTTCCATTGTCTATCCTCCCTCTTGGATCACCTTTCTAAGGTTTCTGACCTCCCCTTTGTAGGTGAATGGTTCCTTTCTAGGCTTCCTAAGGAATCTTTAGTTGTGGCTAAATTCTCCTCATTCTTTCTCCTGGCGTAGCTGCAACCTTCTTTTTTGGTGTAAGACAGCTGAGTATTGTTGCACTCATGAAGATTGCGCTACACCTCATTCCTAAGGCGTTGCTTTCCCTAGTCAGCTTCCACAGACGTTACTTCTAGTAACACGTTTCCTGACTTTCATGCTTGTTTTTCTACGTTAGTTAGGAAGGGAAAGTAAGCCTTTGTCTTCATTAAATGCATGTTTGGTGGGATTATCACGTGAACTTAAGGCCTGGGACTTGGTTCCTTCATAACTAGATTGGTTGGCTTGCTCGGGAAATAAGGAAATTGGGTTTGTTCTCTCTTAAGCTTACTTACGTAGACTTCAAAGATTATGGGCTTGGATCTTTGGGCTCTAAGTAGCCGAAGGTCTTCCATAATCTTGACTCCGCATAGGCCCAAATAAACTTCTGTAACCATCAACACCACAATTCACTTGGCAAGCCCTGGCCATGCGGCTTGGGCTTACTTTAGCGTGAATAGTGGTTAGCATGACAAAACTCAACGCGATGAATATGCATGGATTCGCATGAGCGTGGCGTGATTTATACAAATGTCTGGTTTAATACCGTAGCTTGGTATGATTGTGAAAATTTTTCTTTCTAAATTTCGTACCTTTGCATGTGTTTGGACTTGGCTTGGAACTTGTATGACAATTAGGCTTCGGGACTTGATTGGGCTTACATGTGACATTTTTAGGCCTCAACACAACCAAAAGGTCCTCAACCCAAAGAAACTTTAATAAAACATAAATGACCAACTTGGTCAAACTAATTGCCACTGGACTGGTGGATTTAAGGGTGAGACATGCTTGAGAATAAGCAAATATATGCATCCAAGTCTTGAAATCAACCACACTCAAACTTGCGGGTCTAAGATGGCACTCAAAGCCTAAGAAACTTCATTCTCTTAATGAAAAGGTCAAGCACTTTGTGAATTAGCATATGAAAACTTATACGCACAAAACCTTGAATATAACGAACATGAGGACACTCATTAACATTGTGGAACCCCAACTCTAAAGAGGAACTAACAACGAACCAACTAGTGTCCAAACCAACATGAATTTGGTGTGCAACAACATCAACGAAGATACCGATTCCAACAAAGTAGACCCAAGAGGACTCAATAACAACCAACACAAAATTAAATATTCACAAATAACCTCACCATGAAGACACTTATCGATGAAAATACTAAGACGAAAAGTAGATATGCAATAATCCATGAGAAGATAAAGGAGGAATGCTAGAAATTGGTGCGAGGGGTTGCCATCGGTCCTAAGCTAGAGTAAGGGCTGACGGTTATTAAATTTGTAGATTTAGGGTTTGGTAAGAGGAAGGGGAGAGAGAGAGAGAGAGAGAGAGGCTTGTTGGGTTTGCACTGGCTTTTTGTAGCTGTGTTTGGAAAAAACCCTAAGAGTCTGTTTGGTACTCTATTTTAGTTCAATTTTTTTTATAACTCAAATACTGTTTTCAATTCCTAACTCAAATATTTGTTTGGTAAGTCTATTTTACAAAACCTGGACTAAAAAATAACTAAAATAAAAACCTAAAATTTGAGATTACTAGCGAATATCATCCAAAGCCCCGACCCCGCTAACATCAAGGCCTACGTTCAAGCTTAATTTGCTCTATGTCTATGAAAAAAATTTGGAAATTAGCAACTCACCGTCATATGTGAAGAATATTGAGTGATGTGTACCTAGGAGGGTTTATTGTATGAAATGATCTTGTTATGACAAGTGTCACAATCCTAGAAGGGTAGTTAGTTAGATGGTTAGCTTAGTCATTAAGCAAACTAGTAAGTATAAATAGTGAGGGGGAGCAGGATTGTAGTATCTTTCGACAGCTAATCAAATATATACTTTCTCTCTATCTTCCTCACAATCCTAGAAGGGTAGTTAGTTAGATGGTTAGCTTAGTCATTAAGCAAACTAGTAAGTATAAATAGTGAGGGGGAGCAGGATTGTAGTATCTTTCGACAGCTAATCAAATATATACTTTCTCTCTATCTTCCTCTCTCTCTCTCTCTCTCTCTCTCTCTCTCTCTCAAATCTCTCTGTAAGCTTTTCTTCTTAGTTTCGAAGCATCCATGGCTGTACTTTCTCAGAGTTGTTATGAAACAAAACCCACTTGAAAACAACAAGATTCATAGTATGACGTGAAATTCAGAGTTACATATCAAGTATCCAAGATCTTGGGTCTTGGTGGTAATGGCGACGCAACTCTTTGAGGTTGGGATGGTTGTTCTGTTTGTGTTGGTAACAAACTAAGTTTTCAACGTTTTAAGATTTAAAATAGTTTCCAGGTTATATGATAAACAAGTTTTTGGGTTGTAATAAAAATTATTATTAAGAGAAGTCCATCCAAGTTGTTTTTAAGAATTATTAAAAAAAAAAAATTAGTTGAATATCAAACAGGCCCTTATATTATAGATGTTATTGATATACTCCTGAATTATGAAAGAAAATTTTAGTTTATAAATAAACCTCAATTTAAATACTAAATGGGAAATGGAATATCAAGATATATGTGTGTGTGTATATATATATATATATTTTTTTTTTTTTTCCTACCGAGGCTTGAGGTATCCCACATTGCGAAGGGTGATATTAATTTTCAGTGGGGTCTGAAAAGGCTAAAGACATTTCAACACACCTCTAACCACATTCAAATGATACATGTCATCCAAATGCTCTCAACCAAGGAATCACCTGTATTCTTACCAGCTTCGTGCCTTGAATCCAAAACTAAGGAGCAACCTGACTTGAAAATCTACTACATTTCCATTGGACTGGACCACTTGATGTGGTTACATTAGTTTTTAGTCTTTACTATTTTTATTACTTGTAACCTCCAAATAGAATCCGATGCGTGGCGATTGAAATTTAATTGAAGCACTATTGATGGCCAAATATGCATGTGTGTCCTAGGTGAGTGTTTTAGGTCCACTATATATTGGACCGTTAGATCATATATGGCCAGACTTTGGTTGTGCCTAAGATTGTATTATTAAAGCTCTTGGTGGTTGATATCATCATAAATATGATATACTCTATGACCTGAGATTTAGTTAAGTTTGTGTACTCGTAGCCCTGAGGTGGTAGATAAGATGTTTAACGTACATTAATTAGCTCATTTTTCTAATTGGTGGTTGATTTCATCATAAATATGATCACATTTTCTATATATCTTGGACTAAAAAATTGAATGATGAAGAGACATAAATAAATAGTGTAAGAAGGAATATTAATAAAACGGCCCAAATTAGGATAAGTACTTGTAAAATACGAGTATATTGTCACTGTGACGTCTGATACTAATGAGAGTATTTTTGTTCACTATTATAACTATGGTGTATGCTTATTGTTCACCTTATCAATTGATACATCTCATTCACCTAACTCTAGTTAAATTTCACACTGAATGTTAGTTTTTTAATTTAAAAAAAAATTAACCAAAATTAGGTGAAAGGATACGTGTAAATTAATTAGAAGTATGGTGTGCATACACCATGGTTTATGATAGTGAGCAAAAATGCTCCTATACTAATAGTGCAACAACATATATAAGGTTTTTTTTTTTTTTTTTGGTACATGACGATGTACTGTTGACACCGAATGACTTATTAATTGTGTACCCATATCATATAAATTCTTTTCAAAATAAAATAACTTTTTAAGTGGTTGGTTCTTGAAGGTTTGTTATATTTGTCGGCGGTATATGACCAACCAATTTAGAGTGTTCTTGAATGGAATTTGAACTGCCCTTTCAAATCTATTATTTATCTACTTTTTATGCCGCTGAAATTAATTATACGCATTATGTATAACCTTTTTTTTTCTTTCCAAATTATGTATAACCTAATTTTCTTGATCAGTGAAAACAACTATCCCCAATCTGTTTCTCATCAGTTAAAATATATTTAAAAGAAAATTACCATCAAACGAACAGCTAGTTGATAACTAATAGACTTGGGGATGGGTTTGGCTTATAATAAGCAAATAATAATATGGTTTAAATTTTCTTTTAGCGATAATTGAACATAAAACATCTCACTTACACAAGTGAAAAGAAATATCAGTAGACCGTAGTACTAAGTGATTATGCACAACCAGATTTGAATTTAACAATATATTTACACTGAAGGGGTGAGCAAATTTAGAATAAGTCATGCAATGAATCTGCTATCAATTGTCATAGCAATGTGGTACCGAATTCGTCACGTACTGGTTCGACAGAAAAGAAAAGGGGAGTCTATAATCTTATGTGTCGTTGTCTTTTTGGGTCCTCGGGGGGATCCTGATTCATGAACTTTCTCTATGTTGGCTTGAATTCAGAGTCATCATCCTTGTCATACATTTGCTACCATGCATATATGTTGTCATTTACAACTTTAGTGACATTCACACACACACACACACACACACACACACACACATGCACACATGCATATATAAGAGACATTTAAGGAAAGGGATTCCCATTTATTTTTTAATGGAGATTAGTTGTGGGGTTCCTACCATATCGAACTTTAACGATTTGAACCGTCTATATTTCAAGTTCGATCTCATAGATTATCCTTGTAAAATATTAGCCAAATTGAAAGTATTGGAGACATCTAATTGAATTCAAAGAAATTGATGAACATTTTGTTCCATAACAAACAATGAAATTCATCGTGATAATTAAATAGGCAATGATTTCAGATTAAATTGAATTTTTGCAAGGGTGATCTATGAATCGAGACTTACAAAATAGACAATTTGGGTCATTGAAATTTAACGTGGAGTGAGCTCTACAACTAATTCATATTTTCACAAAAATTTTAAAATTTTACACTAGTCTACAGTAGGGAAAATGAGGAAGAATTTGAACAGAAGACGTACTGAGTTGAAGAAGAATGCCAATACAAGAAGAGTTTGAGTACCTATGAAATGATTGTCGGGTGCTCCTTAATGTCAAATTTCAGTTTAAACTGAGTAGTGAGTACCCACCGGAATAATAAGAGGCCCAAATTACAACCTGAGCTGAAGTCTTGTTAAGACTTTAGATGTCAGGCCCATACTCAACTTTGAACAATGCCACTCTTTTTCTGTCCAGGAAACATAATCTTGATTAAAATGAACAATACGTGGGTGAAACTAGTACTACGTTTGAGTGATATTTCTTATGTCTGACCCATTGTATAGGGTAGCTTTATCTCTCACTTTGTATCGTACAAAGGAGACGATATCAGTTTTGCAAGGTCACAATACACAGATAAAATGTGACTGTTCAATCACCAGGACAACCTAATTAGAGAGTGCCAATGTTTTATACCAAGAAAATTCTTGAAGGAAGAACCTAACGAGAATCAAGGGAGATAAAAGCAAAGAAATAAATTGGAATCCAAAGTTTTTGGTCTGTCTGTCTGCGTATCATGCTCTTCTCAAGTCAATCAGTAACAAAATTTTCGAGCATTCCCTAGTGAAATATCTCAGAGTGGTAACGAATCATAAATTGACATTCAACTGTTGCGAAAGATAAACAGCACATAGAAAAGCGATGATCGTAACATTGCTCAACAGCGAGGAACCATTCCCTTGACCTGCACTACATGGTAAGCTGCTTCCACTGTAGCAACCTTTCTTTTGATGGATCCCTTCACCGCGATTTTCCAGTACAAACGTGGAGTTTGTCTTCCCAGTGCTGAAGAGAACACTCCAGAAGAATGGCCCTTTGTGAACCCGAACCATTCCTACTCCCACCTCGGTATGTGATTTATTTCTCAGAATTGATAAGGCCTTGTTGTCTCGAACAAGAACATGTGCAAAAGCTAGTGAGGGCTCAAGATACTTGGATTGGCAACCCACAATATGGGCAGTTATGGTGCCGAAAGTGGGTAGTTCCACACCACAATTCGGGGCAAAAACTTGGGTGAAGTCCTCTTCAGATGGTTTACAGTTCACGGTGTTGTTGCTAGTGCAGTTTCCCTTGCACAACTCAGCATATTGCAGGGCAATGCACCCGAGTCCAGGACTGTCATTAAGTTTTGGAAGTTTATGAGCTGTTCGATTGTTGTTGATTATCTCAACAAGGTCATTTGCAGGGTTTCCTGAGGGGACAAACCGCACACAATGTCATAAAATGCACAATCACTATCTTCAAAACACGATATACTCTTAACAAACAAGTGCTCCAAAATGATGACCACGTTTTATAAGTTATCCAATTACATTGATTTGATAGTTCAGGAATCATATGCCGGATGGGACAAAGCCACCAACTATGCCACTCTTTCCAACTCTCACCAAGAAGTCGTACAAGTTAATACATTCCGTTCAACTTCAAACTTCAGATTGTAAAGGCAAAGGGCAACGTGATGCTATGGTTCCCAGTGTAAGAAGCAAGGTATGAAACATCACAATAACCAACTGGTGTTCATCAAACGTAGAGGCCGGAATGTTATGTTAATAAATGTGGAAAGGAAATCACAAAGAGTACCCTGATGAACAACGCTAAGACTGAGGCAGATGAATTGGTTTTGACATTGCGGGTTTTGGATGGATTAATGTTTATGCAAATACTCATCGAGGTAAGCTCCTTAAAAATTCAACTATAATTAGCCCTGCATCGATGGCCAAAGTGCACCAAACACTCTAATAATTACTATAATGTTACAATTCAACCGCTTTACTTTCCTGACGTGGGATTCACACTCTCAACACGCCCCCTCGCGTGCAGTTACTCACGCCAAATACGCTGACAATACTTCTCAGACACAATAGTAAAAGTACTGATTAAAAATGTGTTCATCTCTACGACCACCGTTTGAGGTAACTAGTCAACCCTAGCTAGGAAATTTCAGCACAGTTCCTACTTCCTAGCTGTAAAACGTAAAAGCTCAAACGAATTATAATTTTAGAGGAAAGATAAAAAAGAATCTGCAAGCTGAGATTATATAGTAATAGTACCGTGGATTTTGGAGCAAACAAGAGATGCTAGTAGTAGATGACTGAAGATTATGAGGCACCCCCAGCAACAAAGCTGCTTCTTCACCATAATCTCACTTGTGAGAAAAATTTGGGTTTTGCTCTACCAAGAAATAAACTAGGGAAAAGAAGAGAGAGAGAAAGGAAAGTAGGGAATAATATGAAAAGGGTATTGATTATTTTTTCATGAAAAATACGGGAGAGATGTGTTTGGCTAGTGGGAAAATGCGAGTGAGAAAGCAGAGAGATTTTCCAGGAGGAGGATAGGGAAAAAAGTGTGGGGGAGGAAAGTGTTTGAATACTGATGAAGAGTTGCAGAGTTCACGGACAAAAAGATGGGTGGTGGTGGACCCTTGTAGCCGTTGTAGGTTCTGTGGGTGGATTTCTTTTGGTTTAGAAAATGCAGAGGATTTGAAAAGATTGGATGTGGGCAAGTCACATTTTACCACATAAGTTGAGTGCTTGTATGATGATGTGAACTCGAACTCTCTTGGTAATTAATTTAATATCTAATTTAACAAAATATATCGTTTGAAAAAAGAAAAATTGGAATTGGGTGATGGATTAACGAAGGGGACAATGATTGTCTGCCCTCCTTGTTCTCGTGCCCTCCTATGCCTTCCTGTTTGTGTGGTCACGGTTAAGCCACGTCAACATTTTATAGTACTATTCATTTTTGTCTTATTATCTCTATAAAAAAAATGATATAAAATGTTGACGTGGCTTAACCGTGACCACACAAAACATGAGGGCACATAAACAAGGAGGGCAGACAATCCTTGTCCTAACGAAGGGGAGAGAAGGTTTTTGGGCCAATTGTTGCAACACCAAACCATTTGTTAGAAATACGAGAGTCAATGATCGCGTCATCATGTAACCCAATTAGGTGACCACTCGGGTTCGGTCCGACATTATTTTGACCTAACTCGGTGACCGTCGGGTTCATCTAGGTGTCATTTAGACAAACGTGATGGCTGCCAAGCCCAAATCGTTGATGTTGAACTCCCAACATGAAGATTCTCAAATCAATTTGGCAACTGTCGAACATGTTAGTATAACCTCTGAAATTGGATAACAACTTAGATGGACCGATATTAAGCCAAAGTAACATCTCAGTACAACAAGACAATGTCATGTGTTAATCTAATTCCATATGACATTTGTTCTTAAACGGATGTCACTGTAACAATGTACCCAAATTATCTAAGTCCTATCTCTCGAAAGTGACTTCGTGATTGTCAGGTCGGGTCATCGGGTCGGACCACTTTTTGCATTGCGGAACAAAGTTTGATATGCTTCTATAGCCCACAAAAAAGTTAACTAGCCCAGCCCAAGAAAGCATAAACGGGCTTTAAACAGACCGAGAATTCTGCCGGTTCAGTGACTCTCTCCTTATCTCACACCACCAGGCACCAGGGTTTAAGATATCTCCGCCACTTCTCCAACCCCAGCATTTCTTCATTGTCTGTGCAGCTCCTCGAAAACCCCTTTACCTTTGTTAGAGCTCTGCCATGGCTTCCACTTTCGTCACACTACCAACCCCTTTTCTGTACACACCCAACACTGCTTCTCTGTCCAACAGCCAGAAGCTACTCCCAGGTGTGTTGAATTTACCTCATTTCCAAACCCTTTTCTTAGTTTCTCGTATCTCTGTTAAATTTCTCTACTTTTTAAATTTTATTTATTTATGAAATGTTGTTAATTTTGATGAATTGTGAAATGGGTTTCGCTCTCAGGTCTGCGAAGGAAGTGTTTGAGAGTCAACGCAATTGCCACGAAATGGGAACCCACCAAGGTTTGTTGGGGTTCTGCACATTTTAATGTTTGATGTCTTCTTTTATTTTGGCGACGAATTGCATTATCGGAGTTTTTGATTTTTGTGGTGGTGATTTGTGGGTGGCAGGTGGTTCCACAAGCTGATAGAGTGCTTATTCGTCTCGAGGTGCTCCCTCAGGTATGCTGGTTTTTGGTCTTACCATTGTGTTTGGAAGTCTGGAGTGGCAACTTTATGCAATTATCTTTTATTAGTCAGATTCCGAAACATCTGTGTCAATGGCTATTTAGTTGAGTATTTGAGCTTTTTGAAGATCCGTGACATTATCAAATGGCTTAATTTACTGCTACCAATTGCATTCCTATGACAGTTGTGAAGACCCGTAATATTGTCAAATGGCTTAATCATTTCCTTTTAAATATAAATATGTATGTTTTTGTTGGTTCATTTCATGTTTATGTGGTGGAGATCACCCTAAAAAAAACTAAGAAAATGATTATATTTGTATATCATCTCTACAGTGTCCTCCCACTTATCATATCATTGTGATATTATACCATGATGCATTCAATAACACATTATGTTAAATAGTGTAGATATAATCGATCCTATGTTATCATGGTTGTTGTATGTTATCCTTGTGTATGTACTATGTAGAAATTTTCTATGAAGTTAAGCTATTGTATGAGGGCCTGTGAAATGGGAAGAGTGTCATTGGAGGAAACTTGACAGTGGAATGGTACCTGGTCATAGGGTTTTATATAATTCATTGGGAATACAGTGCGATAGCAGTAGAATTTTGAATGATTTTTCATGGCTTGAAGACATATTTATGGTATAATTCTTCTTTGCGGTCTCGTAGGTCTTCTTTCTAACTTTAATGAACAGATTTTCAGTTAAGCAATAGCTTTTTATGGGACAGCATCACCTAACTAGGTCCCCTGTCTTAATTTTATATTCTGGCAGGATATGTCTCGGATTGTATTAGGTTGATTCATACTAATGACACTTGAGCTGAGTGTATTCTTTTTTACGTGTGATGTTCAAATTCAAGTAGTTTGATAATAGGTGTCAAACTTGACCGAGGATCTTGAGATCGACCAGGAGTAAACCTTCAGTAGGGTTGCAAAGTGCAAACCATACTAACAATCTTGAACTCGATCAGGTTTAAAAGCCAAGTTCGCATTAGAGGCATTGTAATTAGATATAACCTTTGGAGTTTAAGGGTTGGTTGTAGGGTTTAGGTATAGTCTTCTATATCCAAGTTCGCATGAGATGCTTTCAAAATGAAAATGGTTTGTATTTTTGGTTAGCATTTAATATGTTTGTCTCATAGAATACCTCAAAACAGATTTCATGAACAGATTTCATGTTAATTGCTGGCATTTAGTTGCTTTGAAAGCAGGTGGTTTTAAAACGGACTTAATTGTTTACTTTTCCTTTGTAGTTATTATATCAAATGGAAAAATATATTTGTAGTTGTGTACATACCTTGTCTACTAGAGGACACTAGCTTACGATAAATTGCCCTATGCCGCAGAAATCAGCTGGAGGAGTTTTGCTGCCCAAGTCAGCTGTTAAATTTGAACGCTATCTTATGGGAGAAGTATGCCTACACTTTCTTTTTTGCATGGTTCTTGTTCTTTATTTTGAAATAAGTAGTTGAATCTCAGGATAATTTAACAAGCATTGTTATTCTCAGATTCTTTCTGTTGGTGCTGACGTTGGGGAAGTGAAGGCTGGAAAGAAGGTGAGTAATTATAAGGTTCCCAAATAATGATAACAATTTTCTGTTGGTTCTGACCAACTGAAGTTTTCTGTTGTTTAGAAGTACTGAGTTAGGTGCTTAACATGTCATCATAACGGAAATGCTTATTCATTTTGCAGGTTCTTTTTTCAGACATAAATGCATATGAGGTAAATAGAGTAAGTTCATGTTGAGTTATTCCACTTATCTTTTGGTTTTCCTGTGACTTTATTCCATGACAATGACGACACTGTTAACCTAATCCCGGCCGTCTAGCATTATTAGTGGTTTTCAATTTCCCGCTCCCCCTCCACACCTATGTTGCCGGGCCACCTTTCTTCCATTAGTTTTCTAGGTAAAGCTCAAGTGTCTTTAGTTTCTAGTTCTTTACATGCACAATTTTAGTGTTGAGCACAGCTGACAGAAAATTGCCACACCTTGCTGTGTAAGCCAATAACTGCCGACTGTAAAATATGGAACGGAGTAGAGACGTAATATATTCGTTGTAAACTGAAGTCTGTTGTGGAAATGTTCTGCTGTGATCCATGTAATGGCTGCATATTGATGCTTACACAACGAATTGACATTGTCTTCAAAATTTTGTTTCAGGTGGATTTGGGAGTAGATGGGAGGCATTGCTTCTGCAAAGAGAGTGAATTATTGGCCGTAGTCGAATAAAGTTTCAGCTCCGAATAGGTACAATGGTTTACATGATTGTTTCATGAGACTTTTCGTTGTCAGGATGTTTTTCCTTGTAGTGTCTCTCAATTCCCAAAACTATATATTCAACTCAAATTTGTAGACAACACTTTTTTGCATTAATTTATGTCATTTGATACTCTTCAATTTATTCGCTCCGATGACCGAAAATTGATAGGAGTGTGCTAAAGGTAAAAAGAGGTGTGTGGATAGCACTATCCGTATTTAACCTCCTTTGTGAAATGCAAGCTATGATAATCCGAACATAATGATGCAAAAATGACGTAGAGGGCATGTCGTAAAGATGGAGGCCGTATCGTAAGGATGGTGGGGAAGGAACGATTTGTGTACATTGGTTATTGTTTGTTTATAAAAGTAAGCTCCCGATTTTTCTGATGAATTTTCATCTAACTTTTAATTTACCTCCTAAACTTTTTAAATTGAAAAATCAAGGACTTAAAAACTATTTTTTTTAGCTGATTTCCCCCCCTATTGGTAGTTCTTTTTATAGATTTCATCTAAATTAACGATAACTCTATGTACACACCATGCTACTCTCTTTTGAGAACAAAAAGGTCACTTCGTTAGACCTTTGTATACAAAATTTATAGAATCACATAGATACAGGTCAACATTTAAAAAATTTAGGGTTTTTCAATTATTTTAAAGAATGAAACGATCAAATAGCTCTCACATGTTGTGCACGTATTTTCATTTAACAGAAATTTAGATGCAATGAATGAAAAACTAATGGTAGGAGAAAATTAGCCAAAAAAATTAGTTGAAGTCCTTGATTTTTCAATTTAAAAGTTTACGTGGTAAATTGAAAGTTAGGTGAAAGTTCAAAAGGAGATCGGCAATTTACTCTCGTTTATAAACACATTTGCACAAATTCCGTTACATAAAAAACCATGAAGGAAAAGGTCGTAACTTAGCTGAAGCAGATTGTTTCATGGGGTCAATCTACATATCTTCCCCTTGGTTTTGTCTAAGAGAGTAAGTGACCAGCCAGCTCCCAAGAAGGTTTGAGAGTCTACGTTGGAGAACGAATGGCCCTAATGTGGGGTTGCAATGATCTTGGCGTGTCAAAGGTTTTAGAGAGACGTATAGCATATAATTTTCTAACTTAGGAAGTTGGGAGGGACTAGATACAGAGTCATGCTCGACAAATGCAAAGCATACCCATCTCAATTGAATTTTCCACCCACCAACAAATAATTAAAAGTTGGGAAGTTGAATGTTCCTCGGATCGTTTTTACTCACCACAAGAAAATATGTTGTACGTTCACTATATACTTAATTATTTAATACGTGTTCTTTTACGTGACTCTGGTTTACTTTCACATTAAATATTAGTTTTTTAATTTAAAAAAAAAATTAACCAAAGTTACGTGAAACGACACGTGATAGATAATTAGGTTTTGGGTGAGCATACATTATAGTTTATGATTATAAGCAAAAATGATCTCATATTCCTCCTCCTTTTCGCATCGTACGAAGTCAGTGCATTTTCCAAACTAATTCATTTTCAAAGAAAGTATAAGAGGGATTAACTGTTTTTTTTTCTTCCATTCTAAATTCACATCAGCTTATATAACAAATAGAGAAGTTGGCTAAAATTAAGGATCATAAATCATATCCCAATTTCTTAATTGGTTGAATTAAAGATCAATAACATATTGTTTGTATTGTGATGACATAAATATCAACAGTATCACCAGCAAATATCAGCAATAGAGGTTTGAAAATGGCGTGATTGGATTATTAATTCCCGTGGTGATAGGGTAGTTGGAAGAGTAGTCATTGTGGTAAAAAAAAATTAAGATTTAAGCCCTTGTGATGAAGTCTGTTTAGATTTATGGCCAAAATTGAAAATTTTGTCAACTCTTCCTTAATTATTAGCACGTGAGCCACACATATTAGGCTAAAATGGAACTCTAAGTTAATTGTGAGCACGTGATGCTTAAATGTGAGACTAACTTTATATTTTTAGTCTCATATGTTAGTCTCATGTGCTAATAATTAACGAAGAGTTGACGACATTTTCAATTTTGAGCTTAAATCCTAAAAGATTTCACCACCAAGGTTTAAATTCTAATTTTTTACCACATGGGTTATTTTCCAATTACTCTATCATCACGGAACTAGTAATCAATTAAGCCTTTGAAATATGATATTTTCGACTAACTTCTCTAACATATATTCTACTTACGAATAAAAAGTAATTATGACCATACGATATGATCAAAGTAGTGAATGTACCACTTGGAAGTTAAAATGAAACCACTTGGAAGTTAAAATGAATGTGTACTACATTTGAATTTTTTTTTATCAGAACGAAATTCTAATTAATCTATCTAAACTATGGAGGATCGAAATTCAAACTTGAGGCCAATTAGTTATTTCAAAGACTAATAAAAACCAAAGTTAATTAAAAAGAAGCAAAAACCCCCATATCAGCCTTAATTTATTTTTTTCATTATTTCCAACGAAGAAGTACAATATGAAAACAAAACTAATTTTTGATCCCAAAAGTCCTTATTCATTTGTGCATGCATTTGTAGAACTTTGAATAAACCAGCTCGTACTCAAAGTTATGTATTCTCCATGCCTGCTGCTGCTTATAAATTGCGCTCTCCCCTCATATCTCTAGCCACCAAATTAAGTTCGCACAAACTGATACCATGAAGCTTTACAGGTTCTTTCCAACTGTGTTTTTCTCACATTTTTGTATGCATGCTCTTGTTATTCACTCCTGCCTTGGTTTGAGACTGAGGGGAAACGAGACAGATCGACTGGCCTTGCTAGAGTTCAAGGCTAGCATAACCAATGACCCTTTTGGAGTCATGACTTCGTGGAACGAAACCATCCACTTCTGCCATTGGTATGGAGTTTCATGCGGTCGTCGTCACCAGAGGGTCACGAGGTTGGACCTGCGGTCCTCGAAACTTTCGGGCTCTATATCACCCCATGTCGGAAACTTGAGTTTCTTGAGACGGATTCATCTCCACAACAACAGCTTCAGCAATCAAATACCTCCAGATTTTGGCCGTCTGCGCAGATTGCAACATTTACTATTGCAGAATAATTCACTGAGTGGTGAAATACCCTCCAACCTATCCAGGTGCTCTCAACTCCTAAGATTGTCTCTTAATTTTAATGTTCTCGTAGGAAACATTCCTAAGGAGCTTGGCACCTTGTCCAAGCTAACAGATTTTGCATTTCATGACAACCAGCTCACAGGAAATTTTCCCAACTCCTTTTCCAACATATCATCACTTGAACTTATTTCTGCAGCTGCTAACAATTTATATGGGAGCATTCCTGATATATTTGGCCAAATGACCAATCTTACGTTCCTTTCTTTCGACGCAAATGACCTGTCCGGAACGATCCCCCCCTCAATCTTCAATCTCTCTTCTATCACAACCTTTGCCGTGACACTCAACAAAATCCAGGGGACTTTGCCCTCAAACTTAGGTATTGCCTTTCCAAGCCTCGAACATTTTTCTGTTGGCAACAACCAATTTAGCGGACCTATTCCTGTGTCAATTTCTAACGCTTCAAATCTGTTTCATCTTGCAATGGAAAGAAACAAACTACATGGAAAAGTCCCTTCGTTAGAAAATTTACGTAGGCTTGGGTGGATAGTTCTTGCTGATAACAATCTTGGAAGTGGGGGAGTTGGCGATTTGAGCTTTCTTTGCGATTTGACTAATGCCACCGGTTTAGAAATGGTAGCAATTCATTTTAACAATTTCGGGGGTGCCTTGCCTCAATGTATAGCCAACTTATCTTCTTCTATTTTACAAATCGGCATGAGTGAAAATAAATTAGTAGGAAGTATACCGAACGGGTTTGGAAATTTGGTTAAGTTGGAGACCCTTTGGCTGTCTGGGAACCGACTTTCAGGTCACATTCCGCCAGATGTTGGAAGGCTTCATAACTTGTATCAACTAAATATGAGTTTGAACTCTCTTTCAGGGAATGTTCCATCCTCTTTTGGAAATTTAAGTAGATTACATAAATTATATTTACATGAAAACAACCTTCAAGGCAAGATCCCTTTGAGTACTTTGGCAGAGTGAAAATTTGAGGGTGTTATCTCTTGGTGCTAACAATTTCAGTGGTGTCATGTCCCCTGAAGTCGTCGGTCGTCTGTCATCTTCATTGTCTGTATTGGATTTATCTGAAAACCATTTGACTGGATTCCTACCAAAAGAAATAGGACATTTCCCAAATCTGGAGGCCTTTGATATCTCAAATAACATGTTCTTTGGTGAAATTCCTCCAAATCTTGGGAGTTGTATTAAATTAGAGTTTCTAGACATGGAGGGGAACTTCATCCAAGGGGATATTCCATCTTCTTTGGGTTCACTAAGAGGTTTAATAGGGCTATATCTATCTCACAACAACTTGTCAGGCATGATTCCAGAATTCTTGGAGCGGTTTGAATTTATGCAATCTTTGGACCTCTCCTATAATAATTTTGAGGGCATGCTACCAATGAAAGGGATTTTCAGTAATGCAAGTGCCATATCAGTTGAAGGAAATAGTAAACTTTGCGGTGGAATACCTGACTTGCATTTGCCAGAATGCAAGTTACAACGTTCCAAGAAGGGAGGATTGAGTCTAACCGTCAAATGGGTAATCTCTCTTATTTTTGGTCTTCTTGGAATCACGTTTGCCATCGTGTTTTGGTACCTTTGTAGCGTAAGGAGAGAAAGAAAGGAGCACACTTCAAGTGATTCAGAAGAATTTCTCAGGCTATCTTACCGAAGTCTTCTAAATGCAACAAATGGATTCTCCATTTCCAACTTGATTGGTGTGGGAAGTTTTGGGTCTGTTTATAAAGGAGTACTCGAACAAGGTGAAACAGTTGCCATCAAGGTAATCAATCTCGTTCGTCGTGGCGCTTCCAAAAGTTTCATTGCTGAGTGTGAAGCTTTGAGAAATATCAGACACCGTAATCTTATGAAGGTACTCTCTGTATGTTCGGGGATTGACTATCGTGGTTGTGAGTTCAAGGCCTTAGTATATGAGTTTATGGTTAATGGGAGCTTAGAGGAATGGTTGCATCCAACTGAAGCAATTGGTGAAAACATTGAGAGACCAAGGAGCTTGAATTTTTCTCAAAGGTTGAGTATTGCAATTAACTCCGCCGTGTAAGTTTATCTTACATTGCCGGTCCCAAGCCTATCAACTTTACACGGGACACACAAAAGAAGTACTTTGATCCTATTAGACGGGGAAGGGTGAAGAAGCTAGGACAGAAGGGTAGAGTTCAAGAGAGCAAAATGCGTTTAGGAACGTGGAATATAGGAACCTTGACGGGAAAATCTATGGAAGTAGTAGAAGTTATGGTGAGGAGAAGGATAAATATTATGTGCCTACAAGAAACTAAGTGGGTTGGTCGTAAGGCAAAGGATCTAGAAAACTCAGGGTTTAAACTATGGTATTCGGGCACAAATAGAACGAGAAACGGTGTTGGCATCATCGTGGACAAGACCTTGACACAAGATGTTGTAGATGTCAAGAGGGTAGGAGATAGAATCATGGCAATCAAGATTGTAATAGGACAAGAACTTATCAATGTGATTAGTGCGTACGCACCTCAAGTAGGGTTGGATACGAGTTCGAAGGAGAAATTTTGGGAAGACCTTGGAGACTTGGTGCAAGGAATTGCTCAGATGGAGAAGTTATTTATAGGAGGAGATTTAAATGGACACGTGGGCAGGGAGACAGGCAATTATGGAGGTTTTCATGGTGGCCATGGTTTTGGGGAGAGAAACGAGGATGGGGAAGCTATCTTGGATTTTGCAATGGCATATGATCTCTTCTTAGCCAACACCTTCTTTAAGAAGAGAGAAGAACATGTGATCACCTACAAGAGTGGGTCGTCAAAAACACAAATAGATTTTCTTCTAATGAGGAAAGGGGATCGTATAACTTGTAAGGATTGCAAAGTTATACCAGGAGAGAGAGCGTGACTAATCAACATCGCTTGTTGGTGATGGATGTACATATCAAAAGAGTGAGAAAAAAGAACAAGACTTGGAAGTGCCCAAGGACTAGATGGTGGAATCTAAAAGAAGAAAAACAAGCCATTTTCAAAGAGAAAGTAATCACCCAGTGTGTGTGGGATAGAGAGGGGGAAGCTAACCAAATGTGGGATTCCATGGCTAGTTGTATCCGAAAAGTAGCAAAAGAGGTATTAGGAGAGTCCAAGGGCTTTGCCCCACACCAAAAGGAATCTTGGTGGTGGAATGAGGAGGTACAAGCAAAGGTGAAGGCTAAGAAGGAATGTTGTAAATCCTTATACAAGGATAGGACCGATGAAAATGGTGAAAGGTATAGAAAAGCGAAGCAAGAGGCGAAGAAAGCTGTGAGAGAAGCTAAGTTAGCGGCTTATGACGATATGTATAAGCGACTAGATACCAAAGAAGGAGAGTTGGATATCTATAAACTAGCTAGAGCAAGGGAAAAGAAGACAAAGGACCTAAACCAAGTGAGGTGCATCAAGGATGAGGATGGAAAAGTTCTTGCTACAGAGAACGCGGTTAAAGACAGATGGAAAGGTTATTTTCATAATCTTTTCAATGAAGGACATGAAAGGAGTGCTTCTTTAGGGGAGTTGAGTAACTCAGAAGAGTGTAGAAACTACTCTTTTTATCGTAGAATCCGGAAGGAAGAAGTGGGTGTAGCTTTGAAGAAGATGAAGCATAGAAAAGCAGTAGGCCCAGACGATATACCAATCGAAGTGTGGAAAGTTTTGGGAGAGACAGGTATAACATGGCTCACTGACCTTTTCAATAGGATTTTGAAAACGAAGAAGATGCCGAATGAGTGGCGAATGAGCACTTTTGGTGCCTATCTACAAGAATAAGGGCGATGTACAAAATTGCATGAACTATAGGGGAATTAAGCTAATGAGTCATACAATGAAGCTCTGGGAGAGAGTCATTGAGCATAGATTGAGGCAAGAGACACGGGTTTCGGACAACCAATTCGGGTTCATGCCAGGGCGCTCAACCATGGAGGCAATCTATCTCTTACGAAGATTGATGGAAAGATATAGAGATGGGAAAAAGGATTTACACATGGTCTTTATAGATTTGGAAAAAGCGTATGATAGGGTCCCAAGAGACATTCTTTGGAGGATTTTAGAGAAGAAAGGAGTACGAGTAGCATATATCCAAGCTATACAGGATATGTATGAAGGAGCAAAGACTGCCGTAAGAACTCATGAAGGACAAACCGAAAGCTTCCCCATAACTGTAGGATTACATCAAGGCTCATCCTTAAGTCCTTACCTTTTTGCGTTGGTAATGGATGAGTTAACAGGACATATTCAAGGTGATATTCCTTGGTGTATGCTTTTCGCAGACGATATAGTGTTGATAGATGAAACTCAGGAAGGGGTAAAATGCAAAGCTTAACCTTTGGAGAGAAAGTGTTGGAATCTAAAGGTCTTCGCCTAAGCCGATCAAAGACAGAATATATGGAGTGCAAGTTCAGTGCAAATGGAGGCCAAAACGAGTTAGGGGTGAGGATCGGAGATCAAGAAATACCAAAGAGCGACCGTTTTCGTTACCTAGGATCTATCTTGCAAAAGAACGGAGAATTAGATGGAGATCTCAACCATAGAATACAAGCTGGATGGATGAAGTGAAAGAGTGCATCCGGCGTGTTGTGTGACCGCCGTATGCCACTGAAGCTCAAGGGAAAATTTTATAGGACGGCAATAAGGCCGGCGATGCTGTATGGCACAGAATGTTGGGCGGTGAAGCATCAACACGTACACAAAATGGGTGTAGCGGAGATGAGGATGCTTCGTTGGATGTGTGGGCACACGAGAAAGGATAAGATTAGGAATGAGGATATCCGGGGTAAAGTAGGAGTAGCCGAAATTGAAGGAAAGATGAGAGAAAATCGGTTACGGTGGTTTGGACATGTGCAAAGAAGGCCTACTGACGCTCCGATTAGAAGATGCGACTATGGGACAGAGGTTCAGGGCCGAAGGAGCAGAGGAAGACCTAGGAAAACTTTGGAAGAGACCCTAAGAAAAGACTTAGAGTACTTGGATCTAACGGAGGACATGACACAGGATAGAACACAATGGCGTTCTAAGATTCATATAGCCGATCCCACTCAGTGACTTGGATTTTCCAAGTCTCCAACCGAGAAGTTTTCCTCACTCGGGAAATTAAGGGAACACTACCTCAACCTATATGCTCCACTCACAAAGCTTCAACATACAAGCTTCAACAAAAGAAAATTCAAAGAACTTAGCGAAGAAGGCTTTGGTGTATTTAACACAATACGTTGAAATGAAGGAAAGCTTATTTATTGATATCCCCGATAAGTTACAAATATGTACATATACTTGAGTCAAAATAAACAAACAAGAGGGAGCCTTCACAAAGGTTGCTTAGGAGAAGTCTCAGCAGTTGGTAGAGCCCCAGAAAGAGAAGGCACCGGAGGGGGATCATTCGGAGCCTCAGTACTGGACAAAACCCTAGAAGGAGGAGGCATAAGAGATTGATCATTTGGAGCTTCATTACGCGGTACAGCCCCAGAAAGGCAATAAATGCCTTTGGAACAAACCAACAAATCTCTGATGATCAAGTAAAACCTGACCATCAGATTCCTTCATCTGGTCAAGCTTCCTCTTCATGTTTGTAGCATAGTCATGTGTGAGCCGGTGCAACTGTTTATTCTCATGCTTGAGCCCTCTAATCTCCTGTTTGAGACTCATCACTTCAGCCGCCAATGATTCAACTTGGCGGGTTCGAGCAAATAGGCGTTGGGCCATATTAGACACAGAACCTGCACACTGAACACTGAGAGCCAGAGAATCCTTAACAGACAACTCATCAGACCGTTTGGAAAGTAGTCTGTTATCTTTGGGAGTGAGAAGGTTCCTGGCCACTACCGCAGCGGTCATATCATTCTTCATCACGGAATCCCCAACGGTAAGAGGACCAGTAGGGGAGACGAAGGATGGGCGCCATATGTTGTCTGGAGAAGGCGGGGCTGCCTCTTCAACAAGGTTCAAGTCAAAACGACGGTCGGAGGGGCCAGACATTTTCAAAGGTGTTGAAGAGAGAAGAGGTCGGACAAATCAAGATCTTAGAAGTGCAAGAATGGAGCTTCTACTGGTGGATATTCAAGTGTGCTTTGGAACTTAATGTCAGCCCCTATAAAAATCTGCACTCGACGAAGCTTCAGAAATCGAAGAGGCGCCTGCTCAGAAATCGAAGAGGCGTTTGCTTTCTCAAAAGCTGGGCTGCTCAGAGACCACGGGGGTCGATCTCAGAAATCGAAGAGGTGTTTGCTTTCTCAAAAGCTGGCCTGCTCAAAGACCACAAAGGCCGATCTCAGAAATCGAAGAGGCTTGCTTTCTCAAAAGCTGGGCTGCTCAGAGACCACGAGGGCCGATTTCAGAAATCGAAGAGGCACCTACTTTTCCAGCCTTGTCAGCACCTGTCACACGCACACTCAGCTTTGCGGAAATTATGGGCATTCTGTCGAAGATTTCTGGCGAAGTAGAAAGCACATTAATCGTACTGTTCAATCACCCACTTCTCACACGCAACAGTAGCTCATGGGTACCACAGATAACTTTACCAAAGTTCTCTGACAAAGTTGAGACACGTGAAACTTGCAGCTCCCACTACATCGCTCTGACCAAGAAGGGTAAAAGAATTGCAAAGAAACAACACTAACAAAGTTTAGACACATAAATTTTGAAGGTCTAGCTACCATATTATTACCCACAAGGGTAAAGGAACAGTACCACTGCTGGATAATTGGAAAGTCCCGGTGTGTCAACCTCTGTGCTTCGTGGCAAGGTAGACTAGCAAACATGCCCAACCTTTACTCACATTCGAGAAAACACTCCTAACAAGATTGCTTGCTCCAAAATCGAAGAGGCACCGCCCTCCGAATCTCGAGAGCCAGACTCCCAACATGATTACTTTCTCAAAAATCGAAGAGAGGGTAAAGGAACAGTACCACTGTTGGATAATTGGAAAGTCCCTGTGTGTCAACCTTTGTGCTTCGTGGCAAGGTAGACTAGCAAACATGCCCAACCTTTACTCACATTCGAGAAAACACTCCCAACAAGATTGCTTGCTCCAAAATCGAAGAGGCACCGCCCTCCGAAT